GGCCGTGAGACACCTCGTGAATATCCTCTATCCAACCAGAATGCCTCCGCGCGAGCAGCAGAGCCGCGCCAGCCGGCCCGCGCGGGCCGGCTTTCGCATGGTTGGCGAGCAGCCGGTCACCCCGACCCGCTCGCCGCCTCGCCTCCCCGGGCAGCGGCGCTTCCCGCCGCCGGTGCCTAGCTCCGAGGAGGAGGCGCTCGCGATCGCGCGCGGCATCATCCGGCACTCGTCGCACGACGACGGCGACCGCACCGAGGCGCGCCACTCCCTGCCGCCGCCGCTGGCCGGCGACGGCGCCGCGGAGCCGCGCGAGCTCTCCGAGTCGCTGCTCGGTGACGGAGGAGCGCTCGGTCCGCTGGACGAGCGGTCGTACGCGACGGAGCACGACTGGCGGAGCAACGCCGCGTGGGACCGCGCCAAGGAGGCCTCCGCCGGCGCGGATAGCAGCGGCAGCATCGCGGCGGGCGATGGCAACGACGGCGCAGGCGACGACCACAACGCGTCGTCGTGGCTGCCTCGCTCCTTCTACAGCGCGCCGTCGCGGCAGCAGACGCCGTCGGGACGGGCCGCGCCGGAGGTGTCCCGCGACGGCAGCAGAGAGGCGCGGCCTCCCGAGGTGAAGCCGTTTGGCTCCTTCTCTTCCAACTGGAACGGTCTCGAGCTGGGGCTAGAAGGCTATTCATCAATTATGAACTAGTAACGGTGGAGTAGTTGCTCATTAGGTCTCGAGCTGGGGCTGGGAGGCTGGGCGTCGCTCCACAGCCCCGCCAGGTCGCCCAAGGCAGCGCGCAAGGGCGGCTGGGCAAGGCTGGCCAGCGAGGGCAGCAACGGCACCGGGCGCTGGTCAGTGCTCGAGTCAGCTCAGCATGCGGTGGGTTCGTCGTGGGCGCGTGCACGGCAGGTGCTGGTGGCGCAGCAGATGACGCGGAAGTCACTCTTCTCGCGCCAGCTTGGTTCCATCATCCTCTCGGACCAGAACCCACTGCTCCCCGCCTTCCTCACGCGCCGCGACAACAAAGGCGCGAAGCGGTGCATCACCTGGTCGTGCGCGTGGCTGGTGCTGGTGCCGCTGCTGATCGCCTTCACCGTCCTCGCAATCACCTCCCTCACCTCGCTCGCCTTTGTCGCCTGGCCGTGGCTGAGGGATGGGTCGACGGGCAACGGCTGCCACGCGTCCCCGGTCTGGATGTCGAACTTTATCGAGCGGCGCATCGACAGCGCCATCAGCCAGATTGACTTTCCGCAGCCTGTGCTTGGCAACAACCTCAAGCCGCGCGCCGACGTACTCGGCGTGGTGGTCAAGCTGAAGAACGTCTCGCTCGAGGCACTCGAGATCAACGCGTTCGAGCTCTCCGCTTGCTACGAGGACGACGTGATCGCGCTGCCGCTGCTGATGCCCGCAAAGAGCACCGCGATGAAGCTGTCCGAAGTGCACTTCGGGTCGCGCGCAGAGTACGAGGTGTATGGCGCGTGGGGTGCCTTGTACCTTGGCTCCGGCTACGCGCGGGTGTCGGGGAGGGGGCAGGTGACCATCGAGACCGACCCGCTCAACCTGCAGCACTTCGTCACTTCCTGCGACGCCACCTTTGACGAGGAGGCGACGACGATGGAGGTGCACGGCTTGGGCGAGGGCACACCCTTCGCGTCCAAGGGGTTCCTCAACACGATCGTCGACTTTGACATGCTGATGTGCGAGGGGCGCGGCGACAACTCGATCTACAACTTCGAAGGAGACCGCGTCTTTCGCGGCGTACCGACGGAGGTCAACGCCGTCGTCCTCAAGGAGGTGCCGGTGCTGCACGCGCTGCTGCGGTTCGCCTTCTTCCTCCTCTCCCTGCTCGCTCTCGCACTCGTGCTTCTCGGCTTCGGCGTCCGCTGCTGGCTCTCCCGCGTCAACAGGCAGCTGTGGGGGCAGCGAACCGTCGAGTTCTACCTGAGGCGAGCTCTAGCCGAGATGTAGCCGAGATGTAGCCAAGAGGTAGAGGCGTGCGCATATCTCCCCACACCTCCCCACGCCTCTTCACGCCTCCCCACGCCTCCTCACACCTCCCCACATCTCCCCACGCCTCCCCACATCTCCCCACACCTCCCCACACCTCCCCACACCCCCCCACATCTCCCCACATCTCCCCACACCTCCCCACACCTCCCCACACCTCCCCACACCTCCCCACGCCTCCCCACACCTCCCCACGCCCCCCCACACCTCCCCACGCCCCCCCACGCGTCCCACCATCTAGGCGGTGGCTCGGCGCGCGCCACTACGCCCTCTTCATCTGGCTCTTCAAGCGCGTGGCCGTGCTCACTGTCGCCGGCACGTTCGCCGCCGTCGTCGTCCTCGGCGCCTGCTACTTTCTGACGGACGAGACGGTGGCATTCGCGCCGTCCCAGGACGGCAACGGCGGGAAGCGGCGCTGCCCGATCGGCGGGAGCCGCTCCGAGTGCGAGGACGAGCTGCCTAGCGACGTGGACCCGATGCTGGAGGAGGCCATCCTCCAAAACATCCCCGGCACGGAGCAGTTTCAGCCCTTCTTCGACGGCTTGCCTTTCGGCCGCCGCCTCGCCGCCACCCTCGCCGCCGCCGCCGCCTCGCGCCCTCCCTCGCTGCCCTCGCTCGCCCGCCCGGGGACGGAGCTGGCACAGGAGCAGCTTCGACACTTCCGAGACACTTCCGAGACACACCTCGCCTGACCGGAGGGCGAGTGGCGCCGGTCGGCCTCTGAGCTTCGATGACCGCCCCCACCACCCCTCTATCACCAGCTGGCTGCCGCACGGACCCACGCCGCCGCCTATTCCGTCGGCCTGATCGGCCGGCTGGTCGGTTGCTGGCTGGTCGGTTGCCTCGCCCCCGCCCCTCTCTGGCCTTGCCGGGAGGACCTGCCCCTCTGGTGCCGGCTCCCTGCCTGGACCCGGTGCATGGAGTCGACATGGAGCATGCTCGCTCTCGCAGTCCCACGCCATGCTCTACCCTACTCAAACAACACGTGACCTGACTCGCTCTCTCTGTTTTGTCTCTGTGCCATGTTGCCCCCGCTTGCGTGCCGGCCTCCGCCGTTGCGCGAGGCGGCGTGTGCGCGTGTGTGCTTTCAGTGCTTTTGGATCGTCCCATGTGATGCATAGTACTAGTAGCGTGGCTAGGTGCGTGGGCTCGGCTGAGGCATAGTACTAGTAGCTTGCTCCCGGCCCAGTGGGGACATTTGCTAAAGCTTGCTAAAGGTGTTCTGCACATTCCGTACATCTTGGCGCGAAGCGGGGCGCAACGCGGCGCTTTGCAACGTCTCCCGTCGTGTCCTGCCCAATCACCCTCATAAGAGAGATTTTTAGCAATACCAAACAAATCTAACACTCACACGTCATTTGGGGCCTGGAGCCCTGTTCACGCGCGCGCGAGACGTGCAGACAGGGTTGCGTTTGTGCCCTCATAATGCGGCGCCGCCGTCGTGGATAAACCGGCAAAGCATGCCAGGCGTGCGTTCGCGATGCGGTTGCAAGCCTTGGCGCTCAGTCGGCCCGCCATCACCCCGGGCGGCACCACCGCCGCGACCAGTTCGCCGGTGACGAGCAAGCGGGTTTTAGGCAGCCGGGGGGTTGACGGGGCGATGGGCCTGAGCGGCGCCGGCTGGCGGGGCGAGACGATAATGTTAATAAAAAAATCGAAAACAAATATTTCCTGGGCCGGTCTGCTAGAATATATCTCGCGCGCGCTAATACCTCCCTCCCGGCGTCACCCTCCTGACCCCTACTGCCGCGCGTCTGTCTACTTGGCCCCGCCGGCCGCCGACCATCCATCCTTCCATCCTTCGCAGGAACCAGGGTGTGCCTCCAAAGCACTCTCTGCCCCAAGGCCGAGCCCGCGCCGCGGGCAGCCCCGCGCTCGCTCTTGCGCGCGCGCCTCAGAGGATCCCGTCAGAAGATGTGACCGAAGCGCTTCAGCCGCTGGATGCGTGCGTGTTGGTCGAGGGTGTGGTATTGCGCGACGCACTCGGACGAGACCACTCCCCTCCGCCGCTCTTCGTTGACCATCCGGTAGGGCGGCTGCTCGATGCCCCTAGTGGGCGATCTGAGAGCGCCCTGGTGGGCGCTGAGGGAGCGGCGCATGGGGCGCTCGGCAGCCGACTGCGCCACCACGGCGAAGGGCGCGACGAACCGAGGGTCGGCGCCCCGAGGCAAATCGGAGCAGCTGTGGCGGGAAACCGACTGCCTCTCTGGCGGGGGGACGGAGAGAGGGGCGGGACTCGATCGCCGCGTCGGAGCGCAGGAGGAGGCAGTTGGCACAGCCTGCGGAGCGGAGGCCGGGGCGGCGTCAGGGCCGGCGGGAGGGGCAGCAGGCGTGTCAAAAGGATGGCAGAGAGCTGTGGCGCGTCGTGCTAATCGATAGGCATTTTGGGAGCGTGTCTTGCGACTGGCTGGTGGCATCTACCCGGATATCGCGTCCGTCGGGGGTCTCGGTAGCGTCTCAGTGGGTCTGGGCAGTGTCTCAGGAGTGCGCGCCTCGAGCTCGCAGAGCTGCGAGGCCACAGAGCTGTTGCGCGACAAGTCGACCGACGACGGGGTGAGCAGGTTGGCGGGCGCCGACTGGGGCCGCGTCGAGCGCACATCGCACTGCTCCATCACGGTCTTGGCCAGGTTGAGGAACTCGTCGACATTGCCCGCCCGGACGGCCCGCCGCCTCGGGCGCGGCATGCCCGGCCTGACCTCCCCGTCCTCCGGAGACGTGGCAGGCATGGGCCGATGCGAAGGGTGTCTGGTCGAGCAGCGAGGTGAGTTCCACACCCACTCGCCGAGACCCCTTTGCGCGCGGCGGCAAAAACGAGCGCCGTGCTGACGCGCGCGCGGCCAATCTCCTGGGGAACGTGCTTGGTCATCCGGACGGCCTTCTCATCACCTCTCCCTCTGTGGTACAGGCGGAGTCGCTGCTCAAGGTCTGTGCGCCAACCGCAAAGTCAGTCGTCATCCTCGCCGACCTCGATATCTCGGCGGACGAGTCTGACGCCAAAGTGATGCGCACCGTCGTCGCCCTCTCCGCCTTTCCCAAGCTCGCCGGCCATATTGTCGCCGAGGTGCGCGACGTGGACAACGTGGAGAACGTGCGGCTCGTCGCGCGGCACCCGATTGAGTGCGTCGTTGCGAACGACACCATCGGCCGCATGATGATCAATTGCGCCCGCCAGCCAGCACTCGCGTCGGTGCTCGAGTCGCTCCTCGGTTTTGAGGGCGACGAGTTCTACCTCCGCGCCTGGCCCGATCTGGTTGGCCGCTCCTTCCACTCCATCTTCCTCGAGGATACGCTTGAGGGCGCTGTACCCATCGGCTTGCGCAAGCGCAACGGCAGCATCATCCTCATCCCCGGCCCCGATGAGTTGGTCGACGACCACGATGAGGTGCTCGTGCTATCTCGGCTTGGGCTCGGCGAATCTCGGCTAAGCTCAGTGCGAATGTCGCCAGGTGATTGTGATTGCCGAGGACGACGACACGTACGGCCCGCGGGTGACTCCACTCGGCCCCAGCGCCACCACCACCACCCCGCGCGGTGCGCCGAGATGCGGCCGAGATGCAGCCGAGATGCCACAGCCAGTGAGGCAAGAGAGGGGAAGAGAGCGGGGGCGACGTAGAATCCTCCCACGTCGTGCAATGCCTCCGCACAGCTCGCCGCACCCCTTGCCCCATCTCGCCAGGCGCCAAGCCGAGCGAGGAAGAGGAGGACGACTCGGAGGAGGAGCACACACCGCGCGGCCACGGGCTGGTTGGGGCTGACCGTGCGCAACACTACCTCTTCCTCGGCTGGCGCAACGACGTGGCGGACATGGTTGCATACCTGGATGAGATTGCGCCGCACGGCTCTACTCTCACCATCGCCGCGCAGCTGCCGCTCGACGAGCGGGAGCTCCAGATGAACGCCGATGGCCGGCACCGGCGGGACGGTCTGCAGAACCTGACGCTGACTCACATCGTCGAGTCGGTGGTCAGCAGGCACGCCCTCGAGATGCTGCCGCTGCTCGCGTGCGACGCGATCCTCATCCTCTCGGACCACGGCCAAAGCGGCGATCCGACCCACGCCGACTCGCTCGCCCTCGCTGCTCTGATGCTTACTCGCGACATACAGCGGCGCTGGTGCCACGACCCGACCACCACGCTGCCGCCGCTCGCCGAGGGAATTCCGCTCGAGCTCGCGTCGGACCGTCGCCCGCGGCTGGACGACGCCAATCCCACGTCGGCGGGCGGCGCTTCCCCCTCTCATTGGCACACCCTCCGGCAGAGCCACCGGAGCGGCCGCCGCCGGCGCGCATCACGCGAGCTCAACTCGGAGTGCACCGTGGTCACCGAGCTGAGAGATATCTCACTCCAGCGCAACGTGCGGGCGAGCGGCCTCGCCGAAGGCGACTTTGTCGCATCCAATGAGCTGGTCGCACGCATCGTCGCGATGATCTCCGAGCGGGCCGAGGCATGCCCGCCCGACGCCGCCCCGACGCCGCGCCAACCAAGACCCGCCGCCGCCGTCATCGTAGCCGCCATCGCACTCAACCCTTTACGCCGCAGTCCACTGAGCTCCCTTTCTGCCGCCGGGCGCTGATACTGCGTTGCCCCACAGGTGAGCCCGATCCTGAATACCCTCCTCGAGTCGACGGGGCCGAGCCTCCTCATCCACCCGTCAACAAAGTATGTCAAGGACGGAAGGTGCTGCAGCTTCCTCAAGCTCGCCTCCAAGGTGCTCGTCTCAGTCGGAATCGCATTAGCCACGGCGTCCCGTGACATGCGCATGCACATGTATAGGCGCTCGCCTATGGCGAGATCGCGATCGGCTACCTCGTCGACGGCAAGACCCTCGTGCTCAACCCGCGCGACAAGGCCGAGAAGCTGATCAATTGGCACCACGGCGACACGGTCGCGGTCATTGCCATGCTGCCGCCCTCGGGGACCAAGACGTCGGCCGAGGCGAGGTGGTGATGCATGTTTGGCGGCCTTTGGCCCGATGTGGGTATCGCAACTCTAATGAGGAAAGTAAACGCTGAAGCCGTGCGGGGCGGGCCCTGCCCGGGGGAGCCCCGCCCGCCCGCGGGACTTCAGCCTTCACCTGCAGGCACCCCGACGGCGACGCAGTCTCTCTCGGGCCCGGGCGCGAGCGGCGCGTGCGGCAGCGCCAGCGGCCACGGACCAGCGTTGTAATCGTAGAGAGCGAGGGTTGGCCCTACCACTCGGCGAGCGTGTGTGTTCCTCTTGCCCCCTTCATATACCTAGGCTTACACTGAGACGTACTCGCGGCACGCACGGCAAGAGATCACAGTAACATAAACACGGACCGGATAAATGCAAACGCGCATGATCGAGGAAGGGGGCGGTGCGGCAGTGTACGCGTCGGTCCACAAGTGCTCACTCGAGCCTAGCGCCCGCTGACTGGTGCGCACGCGGCGCCGGAGTCCGGAGAGGGCTCGCCACCGCCATGGACCGCTGCGCGCCTCACGAGCCGGCGCCCGGCCGCCACGCCTCGTCGCCTGTGCCTCGCCCGCGCCCGCGCGCCCGCCCGCCCCTCGGCCGCGACTTGGTCGGCACCGCAGGCTCGAGGCCAAGCTCCGCCTACCCGAGATTGTGCGAGATGCGCCGAGATTGCCCGAGGTTGCGCGCCGCGCCCCGGGGCGTGGCTCGCTCACCAGCTTCTGCTGGTTGCTCTCGATGTTCCTCTGCCGCTCGCGCTCGTACTCGGAGAGCGGCGGCGCCTGCTAATCGCCGACTCACTAGCCTCACTCACTAGTGTCTCGCGCTCGGACAGCGGCCGCGCCTCCTTGGGCGCCGCCTTGCGCGCCCGCTTCTGAGCCGGGGAGTCCTTGAGGGCCTCCTTGAGGGCCCTGGCAGGCGCCGCCGCGCGGCACTCGGGGCAAAGCAACGCGCCGCTCCTCGGCCGCCGCTTGGGCGGGTTGTCGAGGCAGCCGAAGTGGAAGAGGCGGCCGCACGCGTCGATGCAGCCTAGGAGGGCGTCCCCGGGGGCGGAGGCGCCACCGCAAACGTCGCAGATGTCCTCGGCGGCGGGAGGAGGCGCCTGCGGGACTTGTCCAGGAAAGGTCGAGGAAAGGTCGAGGAAAGGTCGAGGACGGGTCTCGGGCGGCGGGAGCGGGGGACCCACGCGAAGCGAGCCGGCACCCAGCCACGAGGGCTGCCCGCCTAGGGTTCGGGTACCGTGGGGGTATGGCCTAGGGTTCGGGTACCGTGGGGGTATGGCCTAGGGTTCGGGTACCGTGGGGGTATGGCCTAGGGTGCGGGTACCGTGGGGGTATGGCCTAGGGTTCGGGTACCGTGGGGGTATGGCCTAGGGTGCGGGTACCGTGGGGGTATGGCCTAGGGTTCGGGTACCGTGGGGGTATGGGCAGCCAGCAGGGGTGTACACGCTAGAGCTCGCACTAGAGGCCGTCCTCGCATTCGCCTTCCCGGGACCCGGTGCTGCCTTCTGACTGCCGTCGAGACCCTCTCTCCCTTCTCGACTCTCTGTGCGTGTGCGTCTTTGGGCTTGGGGTTGTGTAGCGTGAATACGCAGAGGTCAGGGGTGTGAAGACGGCCTCTCCTGAGAAGCACCCCTTGAATAGAGCCGGGTGTGAATCCCGCGAACACGGCTGAGTACGGCGGAGTGCGGCGGAGTGAGTCTCCTCTCGAGCGCTAGTTGGGACACACGGAAGAGAACATCCCCTCCCCTTCTAGGGCTGCCCGCCAGTGGCCGCGGCGGTAGGTCTGCGAAATTGACGATGGCGACGGCTGGTAACGGCCGGCTCCACAGGGCGGCGTCATACGGGGAGGCGAGCAGCGGCGCCTGCTCACACCGGAGAGCTGTGAATTAGACGCCGCTCACGAAGGACTGCGTCGCACAGGGCGGCGAGCAGCGGCGCCGGCGCAAAACACTCGGAGATGGTGCGGGACAGTGCTGTAGCAGACGCGCGCGCTGGTGCGCTCTCGACGTCGTCGTCAGCCTCCACCTCGGTCTCCTCCCCCTCCTCCTCCTCCTCCTCCTCCTCCTCGTCGTCGTCGTCGTCGCTGCCTCCCTCGCTCTCCGTCTCAGACGCCGCCTCTGCCCGCACTGCTCGGCCGCCGCCGCCGCCCGCGCCTGCGCCGCCGCCGCCCGCGCCGCCGCCGCCCGCGCCGCCGCCGCCCGCGCCGCCGCCGCCCGCGCCGCCCCGCGCTCTCGCCCGCCCGCCCCGCCTCGCTCCGCGCGCGCCGGTCCCTCGGTCCCTTGCCCCGCCCACCCCAACGCGGGGCCCTTCTATTAAGCTTATTCATACCGGTCAACCTCAAGGGGGGGCCCCGGAACCGGTTTTTTTTTCCCTTTTGTGAGGGGTTAGTTTCCGCAATTTGGCCTGAATTCGTAGTCCATAATAGGTTTTCCTGGGGTCAAATTTTTTTATTCCGGCTCCAAAATTCCAACTTAAATGTTAAAGGAATCCTGAAGCCTTTAAAAT